CCCCCCGAAACGAAATCCTGGCTACGGGCCTGTGTCTTGGATGTCTTGGCCCTGAAAATGACACTATTCCTAGGAAAGCAGCCCATGGCTACAGTATGAAAGGTGGCTCACAACCTGTGCTACTGTAACATTACTTTGCTCTCTTCCACAGCCTTATTCCCTTCTAGCATAAGAGTTAAAGTTTGCTTTAAAATAGAACGGGGAAGAGGGTTCATCTGGATGGGTAAATCTACACTGTAGAATTAATGCAGTCTGACACCACTTTAACCGTAAGGTTCAGTGGTATGAAATCATGAAAATTGTAGTTTTACAAGACGTTTCACTTTCTCTGCCAAAGAGTGCTGAAGCCTCACTAAATTAGAAACCCCAGGATTCCTTAGCATTAAGCCATGGCAATTAAAATGACAAAGAGTACTTTGGAGATCAAACATGTAATGATGCTAAATATAAAAAACGCCCTGGGATACTGCTGAAATTTCCAGTGTGGAACATGTTGCCAGGTACTGAATAGCAACATGGCAGCATTTGTTTTTCAAAGAAGACGTATGTGTCACACAAGAAAGAAAGCTTTGGACACATAGATTAAAGCCTTCAAAATTACAAAGGACTTTATAGCATGCTTTCCTAAGAAGCAGTATATATTGTTTCAATCTTTATTCTTATGTATCAACAGTGGTAAAACAATACTACTTTGTAGCTGATACACTGTAGATTACAAAATACAACAATATAGCTATTTAGGTAGTTTGTGTAATCACATTTGTATTCTCTCATTCCTTAAAGAAGTTTAGTGCTACATAACAAGTGCCTTTTTTCATTTCATCCTGACCATGGGATTAATTTGCCCAGGGCACAGCAGAATCTAAATCCAAGCAAATCTTAACATTACTTTCCATATTCGCATTCTCTATCTGCAACATAATTCATTTCTATTGCACTACCATAAAGTTCCCAGACAGGAATGGCCAGTGAATCTGCTGCTGTGGAGACGGAGAATTCACTCTTGATTTTACTGTCACTATTCCTGAAGTTGTTAAGACCTAAACAGATGCTCTCCTAGTGTTGTATGTCTCTTCCCAGAGATTTAGCACCAGAGGACCTCCTGATATCAATTTGGAGCAGATACAGAGAGGATTTATCATTATTAGTATTCATCTCCTACCTTCTCCCATCTCTAGGATTCCAAGTGGATACAAAAGATAAAATAATAAATAGCTCATGATATATGATTTCCACTGACTACAGACTGTCATGTCCTACACAAAAATGGTGGCAATGTGAACAGGGAGCCATGTGAATGTTGCTACTCTTTGATAATATAGAGCATGATCATCCACTATTTTTAGCATCCACATAGGTACTGGAATCAAACTCACACAGATCTGGAGAGGCCATTGTACAGATAAAAATTCACATCACTAAAATATATTTGTTGTTCATTCGTTCAGTCGTCTCCGACTCTTTGTGACCTCATGGACCAGCCCACGCCAGAGCTCCCTGTCGGCCGTCACCACCCCCAGCTCCTTCAAGGTCAGTCCAGTCACTTCAAGGATGCCATCCATCCATCTTGCCCTTGGTCGGCCCCTCTTCCTTTTGCCTTCCACTTTCCCCAGCATAATTGTCTTTTCTAGGCTTTCCTGTCTCCTCATGATGTGGCCAAAGTACTTCAACTTTGTCTCTAGTATCCTTCCCTCCAATGAGCAGTTGGGCTTTACTTCCTGGAGAGTTTCAGAAAAACATCTACTTCTGCTTCATTGACTATTCTAAAGCCTTTGACTGTGTGGATCATAATAAATTGTGGCAAGTTCTTGGTGGGATGGGCATACCAAGCCACCTTGTCTCTCTCCTGAGGAATCTGTACAAGGACTAAAATATATACAATTTAAAATATATGAAAATTAGCAATAGAATTACAACTGATTTAAAAGCATACCCATGAAAAAACAACAAATACAGTTAAAGCTCCTGCAGTGGCAGATCCACCAAATTCTTAATTCTAAACCCGAACCTTGTGAGAAAGGCAGCACTATTATTATATGTTTAAAATACTGTAAAGCAAGGAAGGCTTTACAGTATTGTTTTTTCTTCTCAAGGGATTGCCATCTTAGAAAAACTATCTATGAGAAAAATAGTTATATTTTTAAAATAATCCATATTTATTTATTTGAATGACTAAATAAGCAAATTATTCCTTCCTATAATGAAGCTGCAACAACTAGAGGTATTTTGCTGATCCCCCCCCCCCTCTAAATTTTAATAGGACAAACACAATTTTACTGACCTTGCAGTGCCATCTGATGATGCAGTAAGTAAATGTTGATTATCCTTTGACCAGCAAATATCATAGACAATATTCAAATGCCCATAAAATTCCCGGAGGTACTGCCCAGAAGGAATTTCATATACTAATGAACACAGAAAATGAATTTGTAAAGCTTTGAAAATACATTAAATTATGAAGTCTGTAATATTAAAAAGTCCTTCTTTATATAATGCATAAATATTTTATAGCATTTACTGCCACAAGTTTTACCAATAGTTCCCTGCTTGGATGGTCTTAAAGGCAGGTAAGAAAGAATTCATGAAAAGTAAGACATTATGACTATATATAATAACATTAAAGGCAATATCTCCATACATAGCAATTACTGGATAACTAAAGCAGGGTGAAGGGTGCCATTGCATTCATGTCCTTCAGGATTTCCCACAGGCATTTAACTGACCAACATGGAAACAAGAATACTGGACCAGACAGGACTTTGACTCTTTCTGTTTTATTATAAACAGCTTGACTATATACAACCATTAATGTCTATGTAGAATTAAGTCCTGTAGTGGATTGAGTGTTGGACTATGTCTCTGCAGGCCAGGATTTAAATTCCCACTCAGCCATAGAAATTAGGTATGCGTCTTACTCTCCCAGCCTCAGAGGAATAAATCTTACCAAGAAAACCCTGTAAGAGTATGACTTAGGCCACCATAAATTGGAAACAACATGAAGGCACACAACAAGAGTTCAGTGGGATTGACTCCTAGGTAACCACAGGCAGGATTGAAGCCTTGAAAAACAATTCATATAAACTAATGTTTGCAATAACAAATGCTATAAAATCATATACTCTATTTTCATTGTCAATTAATGTATTCATTCAATTATCTTCCAATCTCAGTGTCTGTGTTTTCAAAGGTTTGTGTGGGGCCCTTGTTTATTTTTGAAGGTCTGCTCTGTCTGAGCACATGGCCCAAGAGGGCTGGGCTTCTGCTGAATTCCTCTGTCTTTACAACTCACAGGGTCAGTGGTGCGTGTTATGCAGTGAATAGTCATATCATTAAAAGTTGAACAGGAGCTCTGCCAAAAGGTATTTCACATGGGAGTTGTGAAGAGGCAGCCTAGATTTCTGTTTTTGTGCCATTAACACTTCTGAATATAGTGAGGAAGTTGTTGCCGTCACCTGAAACAACTGTAGTATGTTTGTGTTCTTGCTGGAGGATGTGGGTAACTGCACGTACAATAAATGCAAGTTGTTTGCCTGAGAGAAAAAGAAGGTCCAGCAAATTAAGGGAGCATGAGATTTCCTCAGACAGAATGGAACAGACTATCCTGGATGAGGAACACCCAGGGGATATTTCCAAGGAGGAAGTCAGATATTTGGAGGAATATGACACACAGAAGTAGAAGGTATGGGGATCATTCTGTGAGTTTAGAGCTACAGATACTAAGGAAACTAGGATGAATCACTAAAGGATTTTTCAACTGAACTGATTTAAAAGCAACATTTACAAGAAAGAGGAAAAGTGGGAACTCAAATGAATGGTGGAGACAGCCAGAAAAACCAATACAGAATGACCTCAGTCTTACTAGACAAAATTCAAAACAATAAAGTGTTTTTAGGTTATGTCTGTAGCAAAAAGAAGAAAGAAATTATAGGGCCACTGAATGGAGAAGATGGCAAAACGTAGAAAAAATGAAATGCAAAATTAAAAAATGAGTATTTGAAAACTATAAATGTGAACGGATCTAGGAGTCTTCATAGGCCTCAAGCTGAATATGAGTCAACAGTATGACATCGCAGTTTTTAAAAGTCAGTGAGATTCTAGGCTGCATCAATAGGAGTAAAGGGTGATCATCCAGGGAACCAAGAGGTGGAATCTACAGTGTTTAGGTAAAATCTGTAGTGTTCCACCTAAAGGAATAAGAGCCATCACATGTGCAGTACTTAGGACCCACCTACACATTTGGAAAAACTTCCTCAAGCTGTTCATAGTGGAATATGCTGCCTTGGGATGTGTGTTGAAGTTTTCAAACAGAGGCTGTTGAGACTACTTTGACTGTGTATCCCTGAATGACAAGGGGTTGGATTGGATGGTCCTTGTGGTCTCTTCCAGTCTAGGATTCTATTATTCTATTTAAATTGAGAATAACCAAACAGGGAGCTGCTGCCATCTAGTGCTTGGCAAGTATAAAATATGTTGTTGTTGTTGTTCATTCGTTCAGTCGTCTCCGACTCCTCGTGACCTCATGGACCAGCCCACGCCAGAGCTCCCTGTCGGCCGTTACCACCCCCAGCTCCCTCAAGGTCAGTCCAGTCACTTCAAGGATGCCATCCATCCATCTTGCCCTTGGTCGGCCCCTCTTCCTTTTACCTTCCACTTTCCCCAGCATAATTGTCTTCTCTAGGCTTTCCTGTCTCCTCATGATGTGGCCAAAGTACTTCAACTTTGTCTCTAGTATCCTTCCCTCCTGAGCAGTCGGGCTTTATTTCCTGGAGGATGGACTGGTTGGATATTCTCGCAGTCCAAGGCACTCTCAGAACTTTCCTCCAACACCACAGTTCAAAAGCAGATCTTCCTTCGCTCAGCCTTCCCTAAGGTCCAGCTCTCACATCCGTAGGTGACTACAGGGAATACCATGGCTTTGACTAGGCGGATCTTTGTTTTCAGTCTGATGTCTCTACTCTTCACTATTTTATCGAGACTGGACATTGCTCTCCTCCCAAGAAGTAAGCGTCTTCTGATTTCCTGGCTACAGTCTGCATCTGCAGTAATCTTTGCCCCTAGAAATACAAAGTCTGTCACGGCCTCCACGGTTTCTCCCTCTATTTTCCAGTTGTCAATCATTCTTGTTGCCATAATCTTGGGTTTTTTGACGTTTAGCTGCAACCCGGCTTTTGCGCTTTCTTCTTTCACCTTGATTAGAAGGCTCCTCAGCTCCTCCTCGCTTTCGGCCATCAGAGTGGTGTCATCTGCATATCTGAGGTTGTTAATGTTTCTTCCAGCAATTTTCACCCCAGCCTTGCATTCATCAAGCCCCGCACATCGCATGATGTGTTCTGCATACAAGTTAAAAAGGTTGGGTGAGAGTATGCAGCCTTGCCATACGCCTTTCCCAATCTTGAACCAGTCTGTTGTTCCGTGGTCAGTTCTGACTGTTGCTACTTGGTCCTTGTACAGATTCCTCAGGAGAGAGACAAGGTGGCTTGGGATGCCCATCCCACCAAGAACTTGCCACAATTTATTATGATCCACACAGTCAAAGGCTTTAGAATAGTCAATGAAGCAGAAGTAGATGTTTTTCTGAAACTCCCTGCCTTTCTCCATTATCCAGCGGATATTGGCAATCTGGTCTCTCGGTCCTCTGCCTTTTCTAAACCCAGCTTGAACATCTGGCAACTCTCGCTCCATGTATTGCTGGAGTCTTCCTTGCAGGATCTTGAGCATTACCTTACTGGCATGAGAAATAAGGGCCACTGTACGGAAGTTTGAGCAGTCTTTGCATTTCCCTTTTTTGGTATGGGGATATAAGTTGATTTTTTCCAGTCTGATGGCCATTCTTGTGTTTTCCATATTTGCTGGCAAATGGCATGCATCACCTTGACAGCATCATCTTTTAAGATTTTAAACAGTCCAGCTGGGAGTATAAAATATATCAAGCCTAAATTGTTTAAATACGACTAAAAGAGAGGACAAATAAGGAAAAAAATGGCTTATTTCAGTTTCCCTCTCATGCTCCACAGCAGCTCACCAACAGAAAAAGCTGAGATATAGCAAAGACAACTGTAAGAGGAGCAAATGGTGAGAAAAACACCAGAGCATAGGTAAAGCTCTGTAGTTTGTATACAGGTATTTCAATCCTAGCTGTCATTTTTAAGGAATATTTCGCCGTACAGCAAAATGCATTTTCTAGTGTAAGCTATTTATTACAAAACCAAATGTGGTAAAAAACTTTTTTGTTTCTATATTGAAATGCAAGTATATCTTGGGACTGTAACTTACAAAGAATTGGATAACCATCTCTTCCTGCACAACCTGCTGCTAATGTCCGACCATCTTCTGAGAAGCGAATACAAAAACATCCCATATCTCCGGCTCGTAGAGAAAACAGATACTTGTTTGGTATACGACAAACCTGCATTTTCAAAGGAAATAATGATTGGCACAACTGTTATATTAACAGTGTGATAAATTGAACTCTTTCCAGAACAGCGGCATTAGCCTCAACCACAAAAAATGAAGAGGCACATTTATTTATTTATTTACGACATTTATATGCTGCCCTTCTCACCCCAAAGGGGACTCAGAGCGGCTTACAAGATATATATATATATGTATGGTATTTCAAACACTTAAATCAATACATTATAATATAAACTTTAATAGACTATACTCTATCAGATGTATAATGTTACCCCAAATTGGTAGATTATAAAATATGGATGGATTGTACACAGTAAAATTATATGATTAATTTGGTTGCTTTTCATTCTCGTGAATACATGTGAAATCGGTAACAGGGCTTCAATTGACATATATCATTCTTACATCTTCCTCACTACTGCTTGCTTCTGAACAGGTACTTGGTAACAAGTGCAGAGTTCCAACTTATGCATTATTTTAACCTTCTCCAATGTGGTTCTTTCTAGATATTTAGGAACATATAAGTTCACGGAGCCCCCGGTGGCGCAGTGGGTTAAAGCACTGAGCTGCTGAGCTTGTTGATCGAAAGGTCGCAGGTTCGATTCCGGGGAGCGGCGTGAGCTTCCGCTGTCAGCCCTAGCTTCTGCCAACCTAGCAGTTCGAAAACATGCAAATGTAAGTAGATCAATAGGTACCGCTTCGGCGGGAAGGTAACGGCGCTCCATGCAGTCCTGCCGGCCACATGACCTTGGAGGTGTCTACGGACAACGCTGGCTCTTTGGCTTAGAAATGGAGATGAGCACCACACCCCAGAGTCAGACATGACTGGACTTAATGTCAGGGGACTACCTTTACCTTTACCTATAAGTTCACACGTGTACTCATTATCCCAGTGCCAGCTATGATATGCATCCTGGTAGGACTGGAAATGACCTTGCCCGAAACCATGGGGAACTGCTGCTACTCAACTGATTTTGAAAGCTGTGATCTTGCACATTAGAAAAATTCCAAATTGGGTAGGTTTATATTGATATTTTTATAAAAGCATAGTTAAACTGGACAATTTTGAAGAACAAAAAGCTGTGGAACTACATTCTGTGTATTCTGGGTCTGTATCAATCTCCGATTTAATCCCACCACCACTGGCCGCAACACCACTTGCTCTAAAGGTGGTCAAACTGCTTCCTGTAGAGACTGACGTAAAACAAACATTTGACCGCAGACCATATCTGAAGCACATTTCAGACTAAGATTATAAACTACTTTTTTCTAAGAATAAAGGCATCACTATAACCATACTCCTGTAAAAACACAAAGACCTAGTTTGAGCCAGGCAGAGCCTGCTATTATGAGTGGCGTATCCTTAATCCTTGTAAGATGGATCTTGTAATAAATCCATCTTTTACTGAAAACACTAATAATGGACTTTCTGCATTGAGGCTAGCATGGCAAGAAATGCATGAGCTCAAGGCTTTTTTTCTTTTGCCAATAACAGATGTAGAATACCATGAGTGATGCAATGCCTTCACACAAAATGAAAACTGCCAGTAGTAATACTGCTCTCCACTGCATTTCACAGGTTGCTTATTATGCCATGCCTTCATTTGATTGTCATATCCTTAATAAAAAATCATATTTTAAATTTAAGTCTCTACTCGGACAACTGCAAACTAACCACAAATGACATATAAGTTAACTGTGGTAGATATTCCCTGTACACCGAGGAAAATGAAAAACAAAACATCAACTTTGTCTTTACATAAAAAATGGGTTGCTACAAAAAGTTAATGTATACAAAAATATATATTTTAAGAGGACTTGCCTGTCCAGGGAGTTTTGACCACTTAAAAGGTTCTTCCTTTTTGTTCTGTGGACCAGAATTATTAGCTTTTTTAGCTACTTCCCTTTGTAACTCCAAGAATGATGGAGAATTGTATTCTTGCTGAACAGCCATCATAGAACGTAATGAAGGATCTACCTACAAACAGAAAAACATCAAACAATATGGAAATGTACATTTTTTTAAAAAAAATACTATTAAAACTTGTTTCATTATTAAATTTTAAGCACACAATTAAGATGAGTAATACAGTTTTATTTCTGTTTTATGGCCCAAACCTAAATATATATGAACAGACCCAGCAGCAAATACATAGAATTTGAAAATATTAATGGTGATACAAGGATCTTCTATAATGCTAGCTTTGTGATGGCGCACTCGCAGGTGAAGCCATGATGCTGCCGTATCAAGTGAAGAAAGCCAGCATTTGATATTGAAGTTATTGACCCAAATTGACACTGAGTCCTGACTACACCCAGTGGATAAATTGTTGAATGTTGAATAAAAATGTATGTAAAGTCTACTGAAGTAACAATAGGATTACAGCCATCAAGTGAAGTATTTATATGTATGAATCAACTCAAATTGCTAAGCATGCTGCATCCTTATACAGGCAAAGAACATAGCTTAAGAGTATAAATAAGACAGATTAATTAATCAATTAAGTCTGTAATCCCAAATAAACAAATACTCATTTAATGTAATAGGTTTTACCTTCAAGTAAACATACACAGGCTTGTATTATAAATATTATCAACACTGATATACAACACCTCTCCATGGTTTTTGACAGAGGTCCTTTCCTGCTCTAGCAGGTAAAGCCAAAACCACAGCACTGGATCTTTTTGTGCAAAACAGATGCTGTATCACTGAGAAATGGGTATTTCACTAAGCTATGATCAATGCATTGTCCAAATTGTTAACAAATTATTTCCCTTAAAACTGAGGCATCACTATTTTATGCTAAGTAAGTCAAGCCTATCACGCAGAAAAGAAGGAAGGCACTATGTGGTAGATGATTCACTAAGATGGGTCTATCCAAGTTTTGATATCTTCAAAGAAGGCCCTCCTCTCTGTCTCGCCATCTTGATAGGTACCTCTGGTGAGAATGCGGGAGAGGGTTTGTTGGTAACTGATCCCAGGCTCTGGAACTCACATTATACAGAGGACAGGTGGGCTCTATTCCTGATGTTCTTCTGGCAGTACATAAAAATCTTCTCATTCTGGCAGACATTTAGGAACTGACTTTTTAAATAATTGTGCTATAGTGCTCTTATTTCTTATTTTTTTGATGGATATGGTTTTAATAGCTTTTAGTTCCACTGATCATTTAATGATATTTTAATTTTGTTACATTTTTTATTTGTGTGAGCTTTTTATCTACATGTTTTATGTAAAATCTGTACTAAGTCCCTGGGCTGGGAAAGAGATAGGATATAAATAAATACAGATGTATATACATACATACATACATGAAGCCAAAGGAAAGTGTTTATTTTCCTCCTATGTTAAATATTTACTTCTCACAATGGAAAAGAGAAATATGCTTCTGCCCTGCCCTCTGAAATAGGTTTGAATGCTTGTCTACCAGTAGCAAATGTTATTTTAAAAATAACCAATGTTTCTGGACTTTTGATGAAAAAATAGCTTAAAAATATGGATTTACCAAGAAATACCATATATACTCGAGTATCAGCCAAGTTTTTGGGACCCTTTTTAAGGCTGAAATGTCCCCCTTGGCTTATACTTGAGTGAGCTCTGTGGGAGTTGAAGTTCAAAGCCCCTGGAGGGCCCAAGTTTGTCCATGCCTGCACTATGGGGCAGGTGAAAATAATCCTTGGAGATGGCAAGAGCGCATGCGTTGGTGGCAGCAGCCTCCGCTTTTCACCACACACCTCCCTCTTCTAGCTGAGGGAAAGCTAAGGAGTAGTCTCTGTCACCCTGGCAACCCCGGCCTTCAACTCTTCAGTAATGGGAAGGGTGTACATTCCAGCAGCACCAACTTTCTGTTCTCTCCACACATACCTCTCACCTCCCTCTTCGCGCAAAGAGAAGAGGGAGGCGAGAGGTGTGTGCAGCAAGAACAGGAAGTTGGTGCCACTGGTGCGCACCCTTCCTTTTACTAAAGAGTTGAAGGCCCGGGTTGCCAGGATGATGGAGGCTACTCCCTGGTTAGCAGAGGGAGGTGCATAGCAAAAAGAGGAGGCTACCATCACCAACGAACACACCCTTGCCATCTTCAAGGATTATTTTCACCAGCCCCATAGTGCAGGCATGGGCAAACTTGAGGCCTCCAGGTGTTTTGGACTTCAAATTCCACAACTCCATCCAAGTTAGGACAGGTATGGGCAAATTTGGGCCCTCCAAGGGTTTTGGACTTAAACTCCTACAACTCACTCCAGGTTAGAGCAGGCATGGGCAAACCTGGGCCCTCCAGGGATTTTGGACTTCAACTCCCACAACTCCCATCTTGACTGACATGAATACAGAATATATCTACAAACTATAAATCCCCAAACTATAAATCCTAAGATTTCATAGGACAGAACCTGCTATTATTATGCAATGTGGGAACGATCTTAAACATGTTAGTTTTTGTTTGACAACTTCAGATGATTCATGAGACATCATTTTTGAGAACTGCTCCTATTTTTTCCCATTACTTCCCATTTACCTGTATATGCTCAGTTGTCATATGGTCATATGTTACCAACAGTGGCTGCTGAACTTCCCACCCTCAGTTTATACTCGAGTCAATAATGTTCCTAGTTTTTTGAGGTAAAATTAAGTGCCCCAGCTTATATTCGGGTCGGCTTGTATTCAAGTATATACAGTAGGTTCATCTAAGTAAAAAAAAAATGCTACTTCAGCCTGCTTTACTGAATTGGATGTAAAAAATTTGATGAATATCATTATGTATTTATTGGAAAAATTGAGAAATTTATTTAAAGTACCAAAGTAGATTAAAGTAATAAAATGCAACAGCAACTTTATAAGGACTCCCAAAAACAAATTTTCCCAGTTCCATGTTGACATAAATATCTTCAATGATTTTTTGTAAGCATACCTACAACCTAACTTACATGTTCTGGGAGTTTAATGCCTTTTATGGTTACATAGAGTGTTGAAGGATAATGGTTTCTGGGACATTTTGCCCACCAGTCATAAACTTCCACAACGTTTAGCTGTGACTTGGCCCTGGGAGGAGGTGAATATAGCTGAAGACGCAGTTTTCCCCCAACATTCAATACTCCATTTGCACCTACAAGCTGAAAAGAGCAAAATATTTACAGTTAAACCAAATGTAACAACAGAGCTTTTATTTAAACACTTGAAAAACAAACACTGAAATACCTTCAAAAATGCCCAACAGATTTTTCGAAAGCCACTTTCCTGAGCTTGACCATCAAAGTTGGCTTTCACATCATTCATACTTAAAAAATCAAGGATCTGGAAGAAAAGTAGAAAATCAGTTTCATTCAGAACAAATTCTGAATTAGACACACACACACACACCCAATTTTGTCAATTATGTAGCAAACATGAATGTTTTTTCAAGTCATTTTAGGTATTATTTCCCTGAACTAATACTCCACATGGTGAATTCAAATTTTAATATCTAGAACAGAAATTCAAAGTGCTCTTATACTTGATTAATCCCAAATCATTCAAAGTGGGATACCCACTAAGAAGAAAACAGAAACTCGTGATAGATGGTGGCTATCTACGTTTTCTTTTTAAAGGGGAGGAAATAAATTAGAAATCTAGGAAGTTTCCCAGCTACTATTTTGCACGCATCTACAATTTATCATGAAGGGCTGGCGAGTCAGTTCCATGGCAGTTAAATGCCATATGGAGCTGTTCCAGGTTAACATAGGGCACTTCAATGCAACCTCAAACTGTGTTAAGCAAAATTGTGAGTTGTTCTGAATACTATCCAAGAACTGGAGCAAACCCCAACTTCGGATTCACATGAACAGTTGGGTCAGTTCTGAAATGGAACCAACCACAACTGGTTACTTGGTCACTCCATATTCTCCAGGTGTAGGCAGCCTAGGGACACAGAATAGCACACACTATCCCTGCCCCCATTCTCACCCTCCAGTCACTGTTGTGGTGGCCAGCGGGCATGATATGGCTCATGTCAGCCACTCGTCACTTGGACCAATGTTCAAAACACCAAAGCAATGGAGAAGGGAGGGAAGAGGAAGTGATTCCTGTTCTCCCCCCTCCCACATCACTCTGGCCATCAAGCACTCAGTAGGCACGTGGAAGGAAGCTTTCATTTAGTTATTTAGATTGCACGATCAAGATTCTCCATTATATAAATATTATATATTATATATCATAATTTAAGCTCTTCATGACTTTCATAGAATCAGAGTTGGAAGAGATCACAAGCGCTATCCAGTCCAACCCTCTGCCATACAGGAAAAGCACAATCAAAGCACTAGTATCAAATAATATATACAAGATAAATGAAAGCCTCAGGAAAGACAGAATTAAGCAGGGCATACAACGGAAAATGTAAAACATGATTCCATACCTCAAAAAACAGTATCACCCTTGGGCTTTCTTCAGAATCTTGAAGAAAATAGTTAAAACGTTCATTAAATATTATTTGCTCCTCCCATTCTGGAAGTGTTGACTTAAATTTTTTGAAATCATAAGGTTGGGTCATAATAGGAAGAATGTGTCCTACTTTTTCTTGTTCATAGAAAGAAGAAACAGGTCGGCTGCTGTATGAAAACAATAAATTATGTTGAGTCCAACTGTGTTTGATATTTTTCAAATAAAGCACCATCCATTATTAGATTAGTGTGATTTTGTAGCCCTTCAGAAATTGTTGTACTAGAATTCCTATTAGTCTAGTCTGCACAGTTAAATGGGAACAAATATTCTTCCTCTTTACTTTACTAGAAAAAATTGATATGAATACTAAATTCATTTTGTCTTTAATCTTTCAAAACAGCGTACAATATGTTAATATTTTGTATATTAAACTCAGTAACTTTCGGTTGATTAAAGAATTAATTCAAATTGAAATTTATCTTGAAAGTCACACAGTTCCCACAACTTGAAGTCATCTCGTTACAAAAGGGCATTCTCTCCACATCCACATGTTCACTATACTGGATAATTTTAGGTCAAACAACTGCAGTGAAACACTGCAAATACACACAAATAATATATTGTATGTATATGTGTATATGTGTACAAACACACACTTGTATGACTCTGAAATTATATGTATCACTTGTATGACATTGAAATTATATCTATCTATGTATCTATCTATCCAATATGTCTATATCTGTATCTATATAACTTCAGGGTCATACAACTTCCCATGTAGCACCCTAGCTCCTGACTGTTGCCCATCCTAATTTAGAAACATCAACAATTCAACTGAACATTTGAAAAATCAGAGAGAAAAAAGATGATAATAATATAAAACAGATTTTTATAAAGTTGTTTAAATCACCTATTCTCTTTCTTGACATACAGACCAGTGTTCTGATCAATCACGTGAATCTTAACCATGGGATGTGACACCATGAGATCAGTTTTAAGCCGATCGGTTCGGTGGATGTAAACACCTAAAACGAGGCTGTCATCAAAAATTGGTTTTGGTTCTGTTGAAACACTAGAAGCAACATATGACGTACTTTCGCCTGGTTGCTCAGCATCTTCTTCAAGTGCTAGGATGAAGAAAATAGCCTTCTGTGAGTGAATAATCATTTAAATTAAACTTTATAACACATAGTTATTATCATAACTAGTCTGCCATATGCACAATTGTTTATGAAAATTGACTCAGTACATTCGATTGTATATTTGTTCCCATATATATGTAATTAAACAAAGAATGAAGATTGATTTCCAATGGGTACCTTAAAGCTCCATACTTAATTTGGTTAAAGACAATTCATCAATATACATTTGGAAAGCCTGAGCACACAAAAAAAATTAGAGCTTTTTGCCACAAGAAATGCTGAAATGAAGGGTGAAAACCGACAATACATCAATTTGCAAGTCTGATCTCAGTTTTGTGAAATAATGCTAAATGGGTTTGAATTCTACCTAAACAAACCTTTTTTGGATTTTCTTTTTACTTTTTTCCCTTTAGATTTTGGTTTTTCAGCATCTTCCTCCCAGTGTGGTGTCTCTATTAATGCATCTTCTGCAGACTTTGATATGAGTGGTCTCTCCAATGAACTCTTTTTGCTGCTACTTTCCTCTTCTGGAAATCTCTGCAGTTCAGATAGGGTCATGACACTGTAACAAAGTAGATTCCACAGTTATCTAGGATACATTGATATATGCACAACACATCAGCCTCAGAACATGTCAAAGCCATAATTGCTGCTTGTAAAAGAAATACTGTTGCTACCCACTATTAACCTATCTCAGTTCTTGACAATAATACCATATTTACTCAAATCTAATGTGCCATCAAATCTAATGCTTACCTCAATTTTCAAACACTGAAACCAAAAAAGGGGATTTGCTGGCAAATGTAATGCACAGCAGAAAGAGAATGGAAAGAAGCTACAAGAATGAAGGGGAGAAAGGAATCTTGAAAGAAAAGGCAGAGAGAAGGAGGTAGAATAGAAAGAATGTGCCAGAAGGAAGGGGAGAAAGGAGTCTTGAAAGAATAGACCGAGAGGGAAAGAGAATGGAAAGAAGATTTAAGAAAGAAAAGTCAGCAAGAAGGAAAAGTGGAAGGGAGAAAGTAAAAAAAGGAAAGGAGCTCTGAAGCGGTGCAGCCAAAGGTGGCTCCACTGAGGGAAAGACCCTGACAAGCTGCCTCCTCTTCCTCCTCGGTGCCTTTGCTGTCTGCTTGCTGTGTTTTGGCTGCTCATTGCGCTCTCCACTAGCCCTACTCTTGCCAAAGGTCCCACTCGTGCCACAAGCCCCAATCATGTCAAAGGCCCTGCTTGCAATGCAAGTCCCAGTCGTGCCAAAGGCCCTGCCCTTGCTGAAGGCCCTGCTTGCACCAAAAGCCCTGCTTGCATCACAGGTACCTTTGCTGGTTGTTCACTGCAAGCCCCAGGAGCCAAGGATGAAGAGGTGAAGGCGAATGTGGAGGAGGAAGAGCAGCAGATGCTTGGCTCCTGGGGCTAGCTCCTGGGGATAGCCGGCAAAGTAGCAAGAGGTCCCAGAAGCCAAGGAGAAAAGGAAAAGGAGGTGGAGGAGCAGCCTCCTCAGCTCCTGGGACCTGCGGTGAGCAGCTGCCTTTACAATCTTCCTCCTTGCCTGGGTTGCTGCCTCATAAGGGCCAGCTCCCTTTTCAGCCACAGGCCCTGAAGCAGTGGCAGCAGTGGAGGAGGAGGCAGCAAAAGCAACCCCCTTCACTCTGGCTTGCCGGGCCTCCCCCTTATATAAAAAAGGTGAACATTAGAATCTCATAAATATGGTATTTATCTTGGAATTTGGTTGAGATCCAAACAAATGAATCAGGCTCAAAACCAAACTTTTATGTGTGTATGTATGTATATGTTTGTGCACAAAGCCCTATTTCACTTATTTCTTCTGTCTGAGTAAAAGTACAAAAACTAAAACCTTACACTTCTAATGAATCACAACAAAATCCCCCAGTGATAGGTATATTTTTCAGGCTGGAGGAAAAAACTGATGCAATCAACATGTTTATAGGTATGGTAACATTATATTTTCCTTTACAAAATCATGATGAATAAAAGAAGTAAAACTCTTTCCAATCTCAAAAAAAGTCAAAGAACTGTTGAAAGACTGAAATGCAAGCTGATTTACTTTTCCCCACCATACCTTGAGTGAGCTGCTGATAAAACTGGGAATTCTTTTTTCTTTTTCTTCTTTTTACTCATTTCATTGTTCAGTGTTACTTCATGGCTTTGAACATTGGAGGTGAATTCAGACATCTGTTCTTTAAGTTTCTTTTTTATTTTCTTCTTAATTGCATTTGCTTCCTCTTCAGCCACTTGCTGCTCATAAACTTGGATTAGCTGCTCTTCCTCATCTAACTCAGACATATCTCTCACTCCATTCAAGGCACCTTTTATGTTGCTGTCCCCTTTTTGATGAAGTGCATCTGCCTGTAATATACTTTTGGTTTTTTTCTTTGAAAAAACATGAAGCTCTTTTTCAAAACCATCCAATTTCATTTCAGATAACGTTTCCTCCTCATTAAGTTGTTTTTGTAATGCTGCCTTCTTCTTCTTGTTCGTCTTTGTTTGCTTGATATTCTCTCCACTAACAACATTATCATTTATTTTTACGGCAACTGGGGCTTTGCTTCCAAGCTTGTGCAGGCTTCTTTCCTCTGGGTTATAAGTGTTGTTTATAATTATCTCATCATTTTCTTTGGAAGGATCAAGATGGTTTTTGAATGTCTCAAGCTGCAATCAAAACAAAAACAATGAAAAATATATCAGTAAATTACAAGCAGGTTATAATAATATTAATGTTAGGTACAATGCTAATTGTATTCTGTGAACTAAAAAAAATACAACTCTTTTTGTAAGCAGCATCCAATAGATGTAATTCATTTGAAACATGAGGAGTCTCAATTTCAGCAAGTTTTTCATACTCAGTTTCCAATTTTGTTATAATAAAAAAATCCCTCAAACACATTCTAGAGTACCTTCTTTTGCTCATGTGCCCAAATAACATATTTTAAAAATACATGTTCAAACATTTTCCACATCAAATTTATATGTAACATAACTATTATGTGAGGAAGGATGTACATGTTTGGTGACTAATCACAGACCAAGCACTTCTGAAAAAAAAGTGGGAAATTGAAAGATAAGACAGCAAAAAAAGATATTTTGAAAGTTCTGTTACATATGAACAACATCTTTAAGGAGATATAGCCAAACTGTTCATTTAAAACAGTTTTAAGTATCTATATGCTAGGAATGATAGAAAGCTACTCAAAAAATGTTTAATGGGCAGACTTTTAAAAAACCCGCACTAAGGTCTATATCCAATTATTTGTCGCAGTGGTAGAAAGTCAGCAGGAATTTGCTAACTCAAAATTATGTACATTCCACAGATCCAATGAATCTATTCCAACTGGGAACAACTGAATGTAGATTAAACTTTAAAGTATCATTTTTTCATCGAAAGACAACTCATTACAAATGCTGGAGAGATTTAAAGTATTTATGCATATTTGTAAACATCTTCTCCTATCCATATTCCTTAAAGTCTGGTTTTACTCATATCTAAAGTTGGCTCCTACTCTCTGCCCATTACCAAAATTTTCTGTTTTGTCCCTCTTCCCTCTTAGATCTTCAGAAGCTAGATGGAGTGTTCCTACTGGAAGGAGTGCTACTATTAATTTTATTTATATTCAACTCTTCCCTCAAACCTTAACTTAATACTGCTTATAAAGTAAAACAAATATAATATAGCAAAAAATAATAAATGTAATTAAATCTGAGATAATTCAAAGCATACAAATGAAAAAATTAAACAATGGTTTAAAGCAAGCCAATTAAAAGTGGTAATGCAAAAAATTAAATGTGCAATAAAAACATATCATTCTTAAAGCCCTGGTGGAATAAAAATGCCTTTACTGCCAAATGAAGGACAGCCATTCTAAGCTTTTGAGAAAGGGGATTCCAGAGCTTAGAAACAGCCATCAAGAAAGTCCTAGACTATTTTTATAAGACAAAAAGGCATGGATCTACTGAACACATGGTGGATTTCACCCTCCAATAGAACATTATCAAATTGAAAACTGTAAGGCTATTCTGACTTAGACTTCCTCGTGGATGTCTTTTAATGACAAGAAAGTATCTAAGGAAATGTGGGAAATAAATACAAGAAGGGCACAGACCACCCACTGCGAAAAAAACAAAAAAACAACCCATAAATAACACAAGGATATTACCACAATAAATGCCTTGTCTGGAGGAACCCAGTTTCTTTACTGTTTTTCTCCGCAAACGTAAACCCACTGCATTATTTCTTTGGACTGCTTGTACACTTTGCACAAACAAAACAACTGCTGCCAGTACCAGTCAGCTTTTCTTGCATGAAATGTACAGAGTGTAGATGGATTGTGTTTGTAGGGGAAGTGATTCAGGGCAGGAGATGTTGAGGTGGAGACAGTATCACCATCATGGGGAGTGTAGGAGATTCCTTACCACCAACAGATTGTCTCCTCCGGTACATAACCTGGATGTCCAAGATGGCAGTTCCAAAAGGTTGAAGCTGCTGCTGTTAAATGCCAGGTCAGTTAATGGCAAAACAACTATCACCTAGGATTTGATCCTGGATGAACAAACTGTCCTGGTATGTATTACTGAAACATGGTTGGGTGAAGCTAGGGAGTGGGGGGGGGGGTATTCTCTCTTGGCTTTGCCCTCCAGTTTTTTTTAGCACAGCAGCAGAATAGACCTGGGGGGCAGGGAGGAGATGTCGCAGTGGTCTATTGGGATTCCATCTCCCTGACCAGGTGCCCCATCCCGCAATCACCCAAGTTCGAGGGTGTCTATTTAAAGGTTGGCAGCCAGCATAGGAATTCTGTTGGTGTAACGCCCACCCCACTGCTCAGTAGTCTCCCTACCTCTCAGCTAATCAGACTGGTCTCTGCCTTAGCATGGGAATCCCAATGGCTAATAGTGTTGGGGGACTCCAGTGTTTACACCAAGACTAGCCTGTTAGGGGTGGCTCAGGAGTTCATTGTTGCAATGACAACCATGGATTGTCCCAGGTTATATCTGGCCCCACTCATGCTGCTGGACACATTTTGGACTTGATCTTCTGTACAGGATGGGATGATGATGATGGAGGAACTATCTATAGATCTGTTGTCATGGACCAATCATGAGAATCGGCCAGGGACTGACTCTGATAGGAATGTGGAGGAGACAGGACGGTTACAGATAACCCAGCATTTACACATCCAACAGAGCATAGTGTCTAGATCTAAGGAAGTAATGCTACCCCTCTATTCTGCTTTGGTTAGACCACATCTGGAATATTGTGTCCAATTCTGGGCACCACAATTCAAGAGAGATATTGACAAGCTGGAATGTGTCCAGAGGAGGGCGACTAAAATGATCAAGGGTCTGGAGAACAAACCCTATGAGGAGCGGCTCAGGGAACTGGGCATGTTTAGCCTGAAGAAGAGAAGGCTGAGAGGAGATATGATAGCCATGTATAAATATGTGAGAGGAAGCCACAGGGAGGAGGGAGCAAGCTTGTTTTCTGCTTCCTTGGAGACTAGGACGCGGAACAATGGCTTCAAACTACAAGAGAAGAGATTCCATCTGAACATGAGGAAGAACTTCCTGACTGTGAGAGCCGTTCAGCAGTGGAACTCTCTGCCCCGGAGTGTGGTGGAGGCTCCTTCTTTGGAAGCTTTTAAACAGAGGCTGGATGGCCATTGTCAGGGGTGATTTGAATGCAATATTCCTGCTTCTTGGCAGGGGGTTGGACTGGATGGCCCATGAGGTCTCTTCCAACTCTTTGATTCTTTGATTCTATGATTCTTTGATTCTAGGATAGTGCAAAACAGAGACAAATCTGATGTTCCAAGAGACTGAAAGATAAACAAAGGGAATGCAGGTGTGAGAAAGAGTGAACTCATGGGCAAGAGGGAGTATTCTTAAGAAATTGTAGTCAATGTTTGGTGGGGAGATCAATGTTGGATTTTCATGTGTCAAGCTGCCTGTTTTGGGAGCTTCAAGTTAGGAGTTCAGTTTTTTTTCTGGCTAATCAAACAAGCCGGGGGGGGGGGGGGATTGGTAGACTGGGTGAAGAGGGTGGCAAATGCTTCCTTAAGTCAAGGATAATTTCCATCCAGCCTGAAAATGGCTGTTGTAAGACCTTTACTAAAGAAATCAACATTGGGTAATAACTGCCCAGTTTCTAACCTTCCATTCTTGGGCAAGGTTCTGGAGAATGTGGTGAGCCCACAACTCCAAGGATTCCTGGATGAAATGGGATTTTCTAGATCTATTTCAATCTGGTTTTAGGCCCAACCATGGGACTGAGACGGCTCTGGTCACCTTGGTAGATGATCTACGCAGAGAACTAGACAGCGTGTGTGTGGGTACCCGTTGGTCCTCCTGGAACTCTCAGCAGCCTTCAATACCATCGACCATGGTATCCTTCTGAACCATCTAGCTGGGATGGGACTTGGGGGCACTGTTTTATCGTGGCTCTGTTCCTTTCTGGAAAGAGGGACCCAGAAAGTAGTACTGGGGGATTCCTGCTCAACCTCATGGTTATTGTCATGTGGGGTCCTGCATGACAAGTACTTTCCCCCAAGTTGTTTAACATCTACATGAAACCGCTGGGAGAGAGTATCCAGAGTTTTGGAGTTCTGTGCCACCTGTACACAGATGACACTGAACTCTATTACTCATTTCCGCCAAAAGCCAAGGAAATGGCCAAGACTTTGAACTGGTGCCTATCAGCAGTAATGGACTGGATGAGGACAAACAAATTAAAATTGAATCCTGACAAGACAGAGATCCTCCTGGTCAGTTGTAAGGCAGATCAGAGTATAGGGTGGCAACCTGTGTTGTATGGGGTAACACTCCCCTTGAAATCACAGGTCCACAGCTTGGGGGTACTTCTGGATTCAGCACTAAATATGGAGGCTCAGGTGTCAGCAGTGTCTAGGAGGGCCTTTGCACAATTAGAGCTTGTGCACCGGCTGTGTCTCTACCTTGAAAAGACAGATCTGGCCATGGAAGTCCATGCCTTGGTTACAACCTACTGATATTCCAATTTATGATTATACTCATAGAATCATAGAAGCAAAGAGTTGGAAGAGACCTCATGGGCCATCCAGTCCAACCCCCTGCCAAGAAGCAGGAATATTGCATTCAAATCACCCCTGACAGATGGCCATCCAATTTAACACACTCTATGTGGAGCTGCCCCTGAAAAGTGCTCGGAAACTCCAACTAGTCCAAATTGCTGCAGTCATGTTACTAACAGGTGCTGGACACAAGAAGCATACCACCGCCCTACTACAGTACCTTCACTGTTTGCCAGTTTGTTTCAGAGCCTGATTCAAGGTTTGATTTTAACCTTTAAAGCTTTCAGTGGTTCAGGTCCAACTTATACAACTGTTTCAAGAATGCAGCAAAATCACTAAAAATGTCACACTAATTAGAGACGAGGAAACAAGTCAATTAATTTCATAAACAGAAATGATTACTGGAAACATTTTAAATTGCCCTTTGCCGTCCCATATTTCAGGGCACTATACAACACAAAACAAAATTGAAAAAGCAAAAAGGCAGGAAAATAGAAGACAATATCTTAAACAGAATGCCACATATCCACCTAGGGGCAGAACACTGGGAAAAAAACACCCATTTGCAAGGTGGTGGAGACAAACAGGGCTAGCCTATCTTCACTATGACCTCTTTGGGGGTATCTGACTGGACAGTAATAAAGCGAGAGTAATACACTTTTGAACAAAAAAGAATGAAGTTACTCTTCCTACCCCTTCTAGGACAGTACTAGAGCCAGAATAACGAACTCTTGAACCAATAGGACAATTTTTAGTCCATTTTATTACTCTATCTATCTCTTCTTTCTCAATTGCTCATTCATTATTCCTATAATCATAGATACTACTGTTTCTTCGTATTCTTACTCTGGCTTCAGGTAAAGTAAGCCCAGTTCTTCCACCCTGGTGGATGGTCTTTGAAGCATAACTGAAAGGCAACAATCTAAGCTGATTTAGCTACGGTTGAAGTACTGCTAAGTTCCATTAGATACAATCAGCTGCAAGGCAAGGGGCAGGGAGATAATTTCACAGTATTTCTGATAGAACAATGATATTCCATTTATTATTATACTCGATTTATCATCCTGGCATAGATTTCAAAGACACAGCTCTGTTGGTCTGGAATATTCACATACAAAAGGGATATGGAAGCACCTTAGAGACCCATCTGAGAAGTAAACATAGTCTATGAAGGCTGATAATATCAACGTTGTTCTCCCAGTTAACCCCTTATCAAAGGTGATAAGAAAAAAGAAAGAGAATCACATCTATTTCTCTGATGATTAGAAATAAATTGAGGTGGGTATGTGGAAAGACCAGTATGTTGCCAATATGTTCCTATTCGCTTCCAAAACATGACTGGTGTGAGATAACAGGCTGGTGTGATAAAGTCCTAAAATCACCTTAGATTACCATAGCATAGGTGCCATGAGTTACTGCTTCAATTACTGCTTTTAGAGCAATCAAAACAATTTGTAATAACTCTTAGCAGTAATTAATGATATTGTACAAGGATTTTGTGCAACCTGCAGTAATTCTGAAATACTGATAAGCTTCTACCTCCTGTTCTTTTTTCTCAATTGACACTAAATATAGTATATAGTATGAGGACATGGAAGAAGGGGCTCTCAATCTTGGCACCCAATCTCTGGAGATCCAATAGGTTCTAACACTTATTTCACTTAGGCAAGATGAAAACTTGGCCATTCATCACAGCCTCATTGATTTCTGTTGTTGTTATATTTATACCCCGCTTTATCTCCCCAAAAGTGGCTCAAAATGGCTTGACATAAAAGCATTAGTATACAATTTGAAATATACAAATATACAAACATTAAAACAGAATTAAACACAAACAGCACTAAAAAAATTCAGATATAATCCATTAAAATATATTCATAAGTTAAAAACCACAGCACTCCCTGACTAGATCTTAAAAACCCAAATCTTTAAAAGACTGTCTGAATAAAAAGGTTATGAATTTTTCTAATATTTCTCGAGTCTTTTCTAATACTGTTATTATATTTGATGCTTTTGTTTAATTAAAATTGATTTTATTATTCTTTAACAGATTTAACCTGTTCTATTTTATTTGTAAGCTCCTTTCGGGTCTTAGCCTGTAGGGCAGGGTAGAAATATTTTATTACAGAAAAATAAATTTAAAAAACTGTGTTCTATAAAGGAAATGATAAAACAGTACAATCACTACACTACCTCTACTAATTACAGCATGCCCGCAGTAATGACAAAGGCAGCAATATCAAATCTGAAACATAAAAAAGGTTGTAGTTTTCAAAATCCAAAATGGAAATGGTGTTGGTAGGGAATATCTGTAAAACTGTATGACTATCAATCTTTCTGCTTAGAAAGGAACAAATTTTCTTTACAACATTTCAAATACTTTCACATTGAAACAAAAAAGTAGTTTGCATTTCAGAACTGTGTACAAAGAGAGCCCATCAAACTCACCACAATATTATCTGGAATACTTTGTTGCTTCTCTTTTAATTTCTTTTTATCTGTTAGGCCAACATGGCTCCTGAATATTTCTTCAAAGCGGACCTTGGTCTTTGCCTTGGCCTCACTCTCCTCTGGAAAAATTAAGTAAGAATGTGATAACTTCAGCTAGTTCAAGAAAGAAAACTGTCTCTCAAAATGTTGTACATAAGTAATACAAGAGGAACAATTCCATGCTGTACAAAAAGCCTGGGCAAACACCCTGTTTTCAGAAGACAGTCCTCAATGTGGAGGAGGGACATGTTTATGGATCTCTATTGCTATTTTTGCACAGGAAAAAAAGATATTGTAGCAGACATAACAGTAATGCCCTGAGAATTCTATCTTCACAATTTCACCGTTGCAGCATTTGTCAGCATAGTACCATGTAGATCAGAGCATGTTGGTGACACACTTTTTAAAACATTGATCATTTCACAACACAGTAATTCAGTTATACTAGCAAACTGGAGGTTAAAACAACTTATAAAAGATACAGAAACATACATATATTGTAATAAAAATTATATGGGGACACATGAAAATCTTTCATTTAAATATTATCTTACGCTCTTATCTCATGCCCCCTTTGCTTCCAGCATTTCCCCTTCAATTAAAGGAGTGCTCCCCAACTCTCTCTCCATTCCCAATAAGTGAAAAAAGCAAGACAAGGAAGAGGAGGAGGGCAGAAAGGGGAAAAAGAGGCAGGAACAGAAGTGGAAGTGTCTTCCCCCCTTCCCTCTGTGATTTCCATGCTCCTCCAGGAACTTCCTGTTGGGCTTCTCTAACCCGGCGGCGTTGCCTTGCCTTAACCCTTTGAGTCCTTGTTGTCATTATTCCAGGTGTCTAGCACCGTGTCAGACAGGGAGCAGTAGGGGACTCTGTATTATCCTACATTTTCATTTATCCAATGTTCTGCCGGCCCGTTTATGTTGGATAAGCAAGACTCTACTGTATCTCAACCATGGCCCAAGCATTCATTCATGAAAAAAATTAATCAGAATTAAAAACACTTCTTTGAACTCATAAAAATAACAACCGATGATTATCCTGATATACTCACAATACTATGGCAACTATTTAATGATATTGTAATATTTTATATGGTATGCAAATGTTTGTACCTGCTGGCATTTTCATGTCTCTCAAATGTAATTCAACATACTGCACTTGTATTCATCCGGGTTCTTCATTCTGCACAAAAAGCCAAACATATTACAGGGTATTACTAATTGAGACCATTTCTAAATGACAATTAAAGACAAATTATAAAATGTGATGCAGAAAGCTATCATAGGTTTATCAATTCTGATCATACTGCTTCATCATTAGGTTCTACTCAGAAGCATCATCACGTTGTCCTTATCTTCAAAGAGGGATGGAAGGAGTACCCAAACAATTATCACCTAGTCGGCCTTTTTCAACTCCTCGATTCCGAATCCGGTGTTTTCTATACTCAGAAACCATCTTCACCCAAGACCCAATGAATAGCTGGATGGACTCATGTATTGAATAGTAGGCCCATCATGATGTATAGCTAACAAAAGAACACAATAAAAGCAGGCTATTATATGGCATAAGTATGCCAATATCTGCCTCTCAGAGACAAACCTAATGAAATAGGCAACAACCAGGAGGTTTGCCTACAATAGGGCTTCGTCCTATATAAGAACTCTATTTTTAATTTAGTTCAACCCTCTTCTGCACAAAACTAAGCCTTGCTGAATCCACTTGATGCAGGGTTGTCAGTATTATACATTATGTATAGCAAACTTCCATAAATAGAACCATGAAGTCCAAAATACAGTAGACTTTAAGTTAACTGGCACCCATGGGGATTGGTGCTGGATACATTTAGTTTCTTGTTGCTTGAGAATTACTCCTAAATATGAGCATAGTACTATACTCCATACTATACCAGAAACTTTGTATTGATGTGATATTAATATTGGAATATAGTAATTAAAAGAAAATAAAGACAAATAAAGACAAACATAAAAGGTAAAGGTAAAGGTTTCCCCTTGACATTAAGTCTATTTGTGTCCTACTCTAGGGGGTGGTGCTCATCTCCTTTTCTAAGCCAAAGAGCTGATGTTGTCTGTAGGTTTCTCCTAGGTCATGTGGCCGGCATGACTGCATGGAGTGCTAGGTTGACAGAAGCTGGGACTAAGAGCGGGAGCTCACCTCACTCCCTGGATTCAAACCGCCGACATTTTGGTCAGCAAGTTCAGCAGCTCAGCCGTTTAACCTGCTGCATCACCGCAGGCACCAAGACAAACATAAGTTAATGTAATTTTAGTTAATTTTATTGCTGTTTTCTTGAGTTCCTGTTAATTAAGGGTCTACTGCATTGCTTTTTGGGCCATTTGTGTGTGTGGCTTCAGGTTGCCTGTCAAAATATGATGATTTTCATGAAGTTCAAAGGGTTCTAGACCATAAAGAATTGGGTTTTTGGTTTGTTTTTTAGTTTTAGAAGAGGAAAAGTTTCATGAGAAAAAATGAAACAGCCTGTTATCAAAACAACAACAACAACAACAACAACAAACTTAAACTTATCAATGATGTGTTACATTTCATTACAAATAATCTCTATTTTTTTAAGCAACCATCTTAACTAAAAACATTCTGGCAATGTTTTTAGGGTTTCGGTCTAGCCTATCTGTGTGACTGCATTTCCCCTTATGAACCACCTCGGGCTTTAAGGTCCTTCAAGGGGCCTTTCTCACAGTTCCGCCACCCTCACAAGCATGGCGGGTGGGAATGAGAGAAAGGGCCTTCTCGGTGGTGCCCCCTGCCTTTGGAATGCTCTCCCTAAAGCAGTGATTCACAACAATGTGGGTTCCCAGTTGTTCTTTCCTACAACTCCCAGAAATCCCAGCCAGTTTACCAGCTGTTAGGATTTCTGTGAATTGAAGGGCAAAACATCTTGAGGACCACTGCCCTAAAGAAATCATACAGGTGACCACTCTAGCTAACTTCAGGAAAGAACTAAAAATCTGGAATTGGAAGCTGGCTTTCGAAAACGGTTGACTATTCATTATGATGGTGGTCTTTAAGCCTTGTCAATACCTATTGGCTTTAAACTGGTTTTGCCTCCACGGTGCAGTATGTTTTTAAACCCAGTATAATTCTTAACCTGCGTGTTTATCATTTTTCAAGATTTTTGTTTATGATTATTGGTTATTTATTATGTTTTGACTTTTTTGGCTTTTATTTATGTATGTATTGTAACTTGATTCTGTTGCAAACTCTCCCCCCCCCCCCCCGAGTCCTTGTGGAGAGGGGGTGGGATATAAATAAAGGTTACTAATGTTTGAAATTCAAATACACCACACACAAGGCAGAGATTGATAACAAAACAGTGGGTGATGCCTATGCTATGCAACCGCTTTGTCTCCTTTTAGAGAGAAAACGTGGGATATAATGTTGTTAATGTAGCCACACTGCAAGAATTGTACGAGGGTTGAATGAAAAGTAATGCCTCCACCTTCATAACTTGGGTTTGGATGGGAATATTTTCATAAATCAAACGCAGAAATAATCCTTAGAATGTGCTCTTTAACTACTGCTATTCATTTTGCCACATAATCACCAGACAATTGGATACATTTCTGCCAATGATGAACAAGTTTTCTGAAGCCATCACAGAAGAAGTCGACACTCTGTATCCGCAACCCACATCTCACAATTCTCTCTATGTCTTTATCAGAAGCAAATTGATGCCCCCGCAGATCTTCTTTCATTATCAGGAACAGATGGAAATCTGACGGTGCTAAATCTGGACTGTATGGAGGATGTTGTATGGTGGTGAGATCCAGTCTCTGAATTTTCAAGTCTACATCGTGGATACCCATCATGCACAGATCTTCCGATAGCCAAGCAAAGCAATAATGTGACCCACACGTTCTTGTGAAATGCCGATTATGCTTGAAATTTCTCTCTGAGTGATACGACGATCATCCTGAATCAATCTGTCAACCTTTTGCTTGTGAAGCTCGGTGGTTGCTATCACAGGACGTCCAACTCTTTGTCTGTCATGTAAGTCAGATGTTCCCACCACAGCATCTTTAAACTTTCTCATCCAACGACTTACAGTACTCACATCAACACAATCACCATAAACAGCTCGCATTCTCTGATGAATCTCCTTTAGGGTGACACCTTCTGCTGTCAAGAATTCAATGACTGCACGTTGCTTAAGTCGCACTGGCCGATCGTCTGCACAGGGTTCCATACTTCACATTTTAACAACACAAGCATTCAATGCTAAGGCTTCCTGTCAAAATGGGACTGTAGAGGAGAGTCTACTGAACAAGCCACCACCTGCCGCATATTTATTTATTTCCTATATTTATACCCCGCCCTTCTCCCCCCGAAGGGGGACTCAGGGCGGCCTAACAAAAGCATCATCCGATGCTAGCATCATATAAACAACCACAGTACAATCAAATTTTTAAAAATTAAAACAATTAATTAAGACACATCCATTAAAATCAAAATTCAAAAACAAGTCCGCATCAATTCATTGCCATAAGTTATGTGATCTTCTTCCACTTGCTGCTCACTGATCAAACGCTTGGTCCCATAACCAGGTCTTGATTTTCTTTCTAAAAGACGAGAGGGAAGTGGCCAATCTGATATCTCTAGGGAGGGCATTCCCTCTAGGGGGGGCACTGCTGAGAAGGCCCTGTCTCTCATCCCCATTAACCGTGTTTGCAATAGTGATGGGGTTGAGAGCAGTACTGTTGAGAAGTTACGAAGGGGGAGGCATTACTTTTCATTGAACCCACGTATCCGTTTGACATCATTTGGCTCAATGTTATGGATAAACTTGGGCCCTCCAGAGTTTGCCACCCCCTCAGATGTTTTGAGGATGGGGGAAGGAAGGGGCCTGAGGTTGTTAGGAATTGTGGGAGTTGGAGTCCAAAACCTCTGGAGGGCCCAAGTTTCAAAGAGGGTTGGTTACTGCTCTAGAGCCCTGGGCTTTGTTGCTTCACCTTCATCCTTCTGTCAGAGAGCTACACACACTACAAACCCCAGCATTCTGTGGGACTGAGGCAAGGCAGCTCATACCTCACTACCTCTCCATAAGTTTAATTGATCCCAGAGAGGAAAAACATAAAAACTAAAGCACACCCTTGGCCTCCTCCTAATGCTCTTTCCAAAGGGCTCTAGCACCCCCTGCTGAAGTATTTTGAACATAGAGCGAGTTCACTCCACTTGGCAAGTGTTGACTGTATCCAGGCTGGGATGAGGCCCCAAAGAGAAAGCCTGAGATTTGAGGCTTTCGCTGCCTTGACACATTTATGAAGAGGCTTTATGGTTGTTGGTTTTTTAAATTACGGATTCACCCCCCCCCCCCTCTCCAACACACACTCATTTTGGGTTAAACTCCAAATGGGAAGGGTGGAAAACAAAAGCTCGTCATAGGGACGCGAGAAGGCCCTCCAACTGACACTTTTCTTCTGAGGGAAGAAAGGGAATAACGGGCACCTTTTAGGAGGGGAACGGCAAAGGCCCCTCGCCTCGCCTCGCCCTCATCCCCCCTCCCCTCCCTCAGAACATGCCAATCAAATCATCGCCTACCTACCACTGAGCGCGCGCCGGGGACCCCGAAGAGGAAGGGGGCGGGACGAGCGGCTGCTAGGCGACGGCGGGGAGGGCACGTGATAGCAGGACAGGGCGAGCATGCGCCCTGGCGCTCAGTCAGCCTCAACGGGATAAGACTACAGGAGGATTTCCTCTCCCTCCGCCTTCGAGATGCAGAATGAATGGGTTTGGCAGGACTTTTAAGCGCGCTGTGGAAGCCGGGGAGATCTCTAGCCTTTCCCTCTCAAGCAGGGTTGGTTACTCACCAAACTCCAAATCCCAGGCTTCCATTGCCTCCAGCGATGACAATTCAAGGGGTCTCAAACCGCATTAATTCTATACAGTGTAGATGCAATAGATGTCATACAATATAATGCTACTAATAATACAATATAATAATATATAATACTCTAATATAGTAATACTAATATATTAAATATAATTACTACTACTAATATAAATATATATGTATAATTATATTATATAATAATATAATATATATATATATATATATATATATATATATATATATATATAAAAGACTGCGTTCCATGCAGTCATGCCGCCACATGACCTTGGAGGTGTCTACGGACAACGCTGGCTTAGAAATGGAGATGAGCACCACA